AAGCACAATCACTATATCAATTACAAATTTTAGGTTGTTCGTAAGGGGTCCACCATCCATGCAATATCTCTACTACTGTTGTTTGTAGGTAAATTCAGCACATTTTATATGCATATTAACATAGACTGCTAAATGGATTGCATTCATCAATAATATCACCATGTATGTTGATTGATGATTTGTTACATTTGCTTGTGTATCTTATCGTAATTGTGACAGTCGTTATTTGTATCCACGAGATATCTAATGTCAACTGTAGGGGAGTCGTTGCTTTCACATCTTAGCCATCCTCAGCATTCATAAGTAACAAATCATGTTAATATGTTTCTTGTAGAGAAGTTAGATCCTTCTACCTCCCTCATGAATAATTTGTATCATTCATTAGAGACCCCATTTTGTAGCAAGTGGTGTCCAATGTTCTTTGTAGTAGCCTTATTCATACATGAATCCTCTGGTCATTGCTCCTGAGTGAGATATATGAATCCTTGCTTGTTCATTTGAATACAAAATACCTCCACTTGTATGGGACAAATATATTTGCTTTCATGTATTTCAGTATTTGTGAAAACTGTTATATATATTTGTGAGATAGATACCCATTAGCTGTCATTGATAGTAGGCGGACTATTTTCCTAACGACTTCTCCACTTTGCTTGTGAATATATTGCATTCATTGTGTATTGCTCCCCCAATCAATTGCAAGCGGATTGACATATTTGTTTGAAAATCCCTTGACATTAGCTACAAACCAACCCTCATTTGAATCTTTTTATCACTTGTAAACAAATTGATCGTGCAAGTTCTCTGGCCTTGGGGATGGTTTACAACATGTGTATAGGGCTTAATATTCAACATTTGTTTGATATCCACATTTCATCGAGCATGAAGACTTGTGAAAATACTCTATGTTATTGACTGTAAACATATCACTGCATTCTTTATTTAAACATTGCATGCAGGTTGATATTCACTCGAATGCATCCACATGTCTCACCTTGTTATGTTTATCGCATATCAAACCATTCTAGTGCCATTTTATTGCACGAGTCTTTATCATCATTTGTGAGTAAATGATGTTTGTAAGTTCTATATTCATTGCAAGTCTTTATTTTCATCACAAGTTCCATATATGTTCATTTAAATTCGAGTTTCATGTAATGATGTTCATGATCATTACTTATGTTCAAATTCATTTGAATTCTTTTGTTGTCTTGTAAAGTTCAAGTATGAGTCCAATTTGAGCTCAACATTTAGTTCATTTGAATTTGACCTCAAATACACTCCCATGCGGTTCGTTCAAGTCATGCTCAAGTTCATTTAAATTCATCCTTTTGAGTTCAAACTTTTCTTCCTCAAGTTTGATTTTAATTTTTTTTTTAATTTATTTAAGTTTGAATTTAGTCCCTTCAATGTTCAAAATAAAGTCCTCTACCATCCAAAATTTGCTCAAGTCCTTGTGCGTTTCAGTCCAAATTTATACAGTCTCCCGACGTCTCCCCTGTTTAAGGGAAAATCCGAGAGACTAGCCTTCCCCTCATCGCTACTTGAGCGCTTCAGGTAGGTTTCAAATGATACCGCGGCCGCAAATTATTCAATCCCCGCCCGCTACATGAGCGTTTAAGGGTCTACGGATACTTGTTTAAAAGAGCACAGTTTCTTTCCCCCCTCTGCACTACGTGAGCATTTCGAGGTACTTATTTTATTTTATTTCATTTTATTATTAAGAGAGAGGTTAATCACCTGGGTTAAGAGGAGTGAAATGAGATTTGGGCTTGTTGATTAAATGGGACCGGACGAGTGAGGCTTGTGTGAGGTAGAGATAGGGCACGGGTAAGAAGAGCTCTCCCCCTCTCTCTCTCTGGGCCGGCGGAACTGGATGGAGTCGAGATGGTTGAAGCCGGCGGGATTACGGCTACATGTAAGGGTCTAAGGGAAAGCGTTGGCTAGGGTGGAGATCGACAAGCTGTAGAGGTTTGAATAGGGTAGAGATCGGGAAGATGGCGTCGAGATGGAGGTATGGCTTCTGTCCGTGAGAGGAATTAGGAGGAAGACTTGGATGGCTTCAAGAAGATGTAAGCTCGGCAAACAGAAGAGCAGGAAGTTTGGATGGATTCGGTTGAGAGGGGGTCGAGTGGAGTTTCGGCAGAGACAAAGGAATCAGAGCTTTCGCGTGTGTGGAAGGATTCGGGGAGAGAAGAAGAGTCTCATGTGGAGAAGAAGCCTGAACGAGAGCCTCAACCTTCATTTTATCAATGCGAATGAGCTTAAGGTCGCAAGATTTACGCGAAGCTCAAACAGATATTGCTGAAAAAATGACACTTCCGTGCCGATTTTGCAGAATTTCAGCGAGATTTGCGGAAGATTTCGGCGGGATACGAGGTATTCGAGATTTCTGGAGGGATTTCGGGGACTCGACGGGTGCAAGGTATGTATGCGGGATTTATGGCTTCTTCCCTCTTTTGTGTGGTTTATACAGAGGTTAACAGAGACCTGCAATGCTTTATGGTGTCGAATGTTGGCCATTAAAAGAGAAGTATAATACTAAGTTAAGTGTTGCAGAGATGAGGATGCTTAGGTGGATGAGTGGTTTGACCCTTAGAGATATGATACGAAATGAGCATATACGTGAAAAGGTTGGAGTCGCCATAGATGGTTTGGTCACATTAAACGGAGGCCTTCTGATGACCCGGTTAGGAAAGTTGAGATATTAGATTTGACTTATATTAAGAAAGGTAGAGGTAGACCTAAAAAGACTTGATTAGAAAATATTAGAAATGATTTTTCTTTATTAGATTTAAATGATAATTTGACTTTTAACAGGACAGAATGGCGAAAAAGGATACATGTAGCCGACCCACATAGTGGGATAAAGGATTTATGTTGTTGTTGTTGTTATTGTTGGATCTTTGACCCCAGTATCACTTATTAGAGGCAAAGTTCTGGTAGTATTTTTCAATGTCCTCTATGACATCATATGTGCTAAAATTATTCTTTCCTAGGCTGGATTTAAAGCTTGTGTGCTAATGATATTGAGCAGATAAGTGACAAGTGCAGCAATAGTTTGAATTTGTTGGCCTGTCTTCATTGCTTGCGTTTGAAGAATAACTTCAATGGAGATAAACTTCTTTAAAGCCATTGCTAGGGAAGAATATTATGATTTCTCAATAATAAGCATGACAATTAAGTAACAATTAAAGAAGTTTGAAGAATTTTATGATTTCTCAGCCATCACATAACTCGAGCTCATTTGGTAAACAAGCTCGAACTCGAGCTCGACTCGTGAGTTTTTCTGCAGGTAGTCATATCCAAGAGGGGTAAAAATAAGTCATGATTATTTAACATTGTTTGCTTGTAGGTGCTGCCTAAAACCTCCCAAGGAGGCATGGTCAATAGATTTCTACAAATTAAAATATTTAAATAAAAAAAATCAATATAGGATGATATGCATTTTTTTATCGAAATTTGCATAGCTTACTTAAATAAGCCACACATTCAAATTAAAAATAAAATGAAATAATCATGTATTATCAGTGTGTCACATATAAAAATCTCTCACTTAAGGATTAGATAACAAAAATTTGCATTTAGAGAGTCAGCATATACATACTCACATGGTCAAGCATCTTGGCCTAAAAATTAAGTTGTAAGTCATATCTTCTAATTCAAAACAATCTTCACTACTCTTCATACGCATTCAGACCGGACAACATGATTTTAAAAGCGGTTAGGTAGGTTTAACTGGTATCCCTTTTTAGGCAGGATTGTAAATTCAGAAGTCAGACAAACTTATGTCTCATGTGAGGTGTAGGTTTGTAAGTACCTTGCACTCCGTTAAACTTAGATTCGAGACACTACCCTTCAGTAGTTCTCACCTTAATTCTAGGATTCGAGGCTGTTGTTGATTCCAGTTACTTCATAAGCCCTCACATTCCGGATATTTTACATAACATGTATAAGCCTCAATCTTCTAAATCAAATTGGTCAACTTAAATAAAATTTTGATTAAATGCAAAGTCCAACATATTATAGTTTAAGTACCTCTGAGTTTTCTAAGAATCAAACTCCTACATTTCATTTCTTTGGCTTTCATTCCAAAAATTTAATTTAGAGTTGATCTCATCTCCTTTGAAATTGCTAATGACCAAATTTTTGAACAAGCATTTCACAAATTTCAAAAAAAAAGCCAATATTTTGATGACTCTAAAAAAATCACTAGTTTAATCAAAAGTATTCTCAAGTAACAAATACTTAAGATGTAATTAACCATAGGGGCATGTTATTATGAGATATCTGTATCCCAAAATAAAATATATCATATCCAACCAAATATTAAATAGAGAAAAATCTTTATTAAAGCTAAAATTGTGAGTTTTATTATTGAGTTCATAGCAAAATGATTTTTTTTCCTTCAAGATAATATATTATTTTCTATGACGTGCTCAATCACAAAATAACACAATCCGTCGATAGCAAATACTAAGTGTTGAATCTCTAATGGATAGGAGATTTTAAATTTTACTATCCAAACGAGACAAGAATTAGAAAAAAAAAACTATCATCACTCCCCTAGTTTCAACAAGCTTCAAGGCGATCCAAATAAGCCATTTTGTAGTTTACATATTCTTAGGGATTTAGTTTAACAAGCTATCAAGTTATTTGTATATTGTATAGTGTACTTCTTATTTTCCTCTGACAATTCTAGTTAATTTTCCTGATTTACTCATCATTTTATTGTTTTAATATTTCTTCAAAAAATATATATATTCTCATTATTACCGCAATCAATTTAACTATTTATGATGCCCTTAATAATGTACAAAAATGAATGAAATTGCTCCTTTAGTTAGCAGGTTTCCCAGGAAGCTATCAATTATAAATATCTCAACTTTCATAAAACAAAGCATTGTATCAATAGGACCATTCCATGTGCGCAAGGATGGGGAAATATGAAGCATGCTCATAGAACTTAACATGGATCGCCAATTGCATGTAAAACTTACTTGAACGGAGTCTTGTAATTGGAATTTCTCGCAATTCACGCCTAATGCACAGCCACTCACCAAGCAGTGCCATCAATACTAAACCCGTGAGGTTCACAATCCACCATGTCAAAGATGATGGCCATCCTCCATACATGATACACACAAAAAGATGGATAATGTAGAGAGTGGCTGAGAAGTCTAAACACTTCTTTGCTCTCTCAATCAGGAAAAGAATGTACCCTGCCCTGCTCAAGAAATAGTGGAATGTTAGACTAATGGATAATTTATTGAATCTAGAATCGATTAATTTTTTGCAATGATAATGATTTTGAACAAGTTTATAATCTCATGTAACCAAAACGAAAAGGTCTCAAGAAATGCTGAGGATAAAGACTAGAACATGGACGACTAAAATGTAAATCCCAACATCAGAGAAGAGTTTTATGCATGGGATGGACCACGATCCAGTTATAGGAAGAACTATCAAGTAAAATATAACTATTATTTTCACTCTAATCACTTACCGAATGACTGAAAAATTCAGCTGCGCGGATAAGAATAAGCAAGTTAAGCATATTCGGCTAGTGCTGGAGAAAACGTACATCAGTGTAAAACGAAAACTAATATTGAAAACAATGACCCTCATCATTACAGCTCATAATTCAAAAACACAATCATGGCATATAACTTGTCCTGAAAATGCAGGGAAAAAAAAAACACAGCTTGCCTTAATTTTCACATCTTAAAGGGTAATACGCCAAATCAAGTGAGTTCCTTCCCCTCCTATAAGAAGCAAACAGGTCGACCATTTAAGAGTGGAAAACAGAAACCGTAGAAGTAAACTTTTACATCTTAAAAAAGTACACACTAAACCAAGTGGAATAGAAAAGATGAAAATATTAAAGTAAACCACATATAAATGTTGACCTCCAACTATATTTCACAGCCGATTCCAACACGTGCAATGAAAATAATGGTCTGCTGATGCAACATCATATGAAAAATGTTCAAATACCCAACTGTTGCACAAACCACCTGCATCACCCGTTAGCAAAATGGATTGCTCCAACATCTATAAGATGTTGAATTTACCCAAGAAGAATCACTCACGTGCAACTCAAACTACGTCTACTGAAGCAAATTTGTGTGATATTGTTGACCCCTACAACTCACACTACGTGCAAAAGGGACGAAAATGGCGAATTAAACAATGCGCGGGTTGGCGCGACGCATTACTTAAAGGGTCAAATGACCTCTGAATGTCAAACGGACAGTGGTGGCATTGCAATCAGAACGTTGAATTATGCTAAGTTCGAGGCCCCTCAAGTCATATCGGATGAGATCGGTCAAAAGAGTTGACTAACACCCGAAATTAAAGAACGAGGCTGATCAAACGACGTCGGGTTGACAAACGACGTCGGGTTGACAAACAGACTTCGTCGTTGCGTCCAGAACATCACCAACATTCAAAATATATGTTTTATTTAATTAATTTGGATCTTACAAGGTAGTGGCACGAATCCCGAGGAAATTCAGATACAATAACAAGTATTTCGAGGAATATTAGCCTCGACACTATCCAAACAACGTCGAATCAACGACTCGTCGTTGCGTCTGGAACCTTGTCAACCTCTAAAAACTATATTTTTTGTTCAATTTGGAGTATCAGAATGGTTGCACAGATCCCGATGTGTCAACACGAATTTAAAAAAAAATCGGCCTCAATGCTATCCAAATAATGTCCGTTCACAAAACGGATTTCTCCATTGCGACCGAAATATCGTGAATACTCAAGAGCCACATTTTCTATGTTTAACTTGGATCATCTAAATTTGATGGCACAAATTTTAAGACAAAACACGCATATCAAGGAGAATAGGCATCGGCACTGCTCAAACAAAGTCCGATCACAAAACGGACTTCTTTATTGTGTTTAGAACATCCCAAATATCTTAGAATACCTAAGAATGACATTCAATTTGACAAATTGAAGACATGCGAGGGTTTCAATACGCATCTCAGGGCAAATCATGCATTTCGAGAAAAAAGGGTGCTCGACGTTACCCAAATGACGTCCAATTGACAAACGGACTTCGTCATTGTGTCTGAAACACCATTAATACCCTAAATGCACTACCAATTTGTTTGAATGAGATAGTGCATGCAAATCAAGGCAGTTCTAAAGCGACAACATGTATTTCGAGAGAATTAGGCCTCGACGTCACCCAAATGATGTCTGATAGCAAAACGGACTACGTCATTGCGACATGAACATGGACAATACAGTAAATACAATGACAATTTGTCCAATTTCGATACTCGGTAAAATCGACACACAAAACGGAGCAATCGACACACAAATCAAAAAAATACACGCAAAATGAGCTTAAGCTTGAGCTCGGATTTAAATTTGAGCAAATAAAAGGACTATAACTCAAATTGAACATTAATCAAAGTTGCAAACATTGAATCCTAACTTAAATGAACTTGAATCGAAGAAAATCATAATGAACAGCATAGAAGACTTGTGAACTGGAACCTAAACCGAATAAGACTCAAATGAATTTGAGCTCGAACATAGTGATAGTGAACTGGATGCTCATATTGGACCATAGGGGACTTGAACTTGCATTTGATTTAAAAATCAAATGAGATGAACAAAGATTTGAACATTTGAACTGAACATGAGGACTTGATTTGGACAGCATCGAGCTCAAATTTGACATTGGGTTTTGGACTCAAATCCGCATTGAACTCAAATGACATTAAATTTAACCATAACCTGAACACAATAATTAAAGAAGAATTTGATTTGAAAGATGGCATCAAGATTCTAATGGAATGTTAAAGAATTATCATTTCAATTTGAATGTGATTGCTAATTAAGAAATTTGGGTCATTCAAATCTTATCCAATCAAGCAAGTGGAAGACAAGCTTTCAATGCATTCAAGGGACGAATGATGAAGACAAAATGGCTTAGACTATTCAGCCAAGTCAATTTGAGAATGAAATATGTATCAATCATTCAATCAACTACAACTAGAAGGATTCTACATGTAGCTTGACGTCAAGCAAGCATCAACGATGCAATAGACAAAAAAAAGAATAAATATGGAGTGCAATAGTGTCTCTATCAACTGCAATTCAACATACAAAAGAATGCATGAATCTCCTACAAGCAAAAGAGTTTGATAGACAACATGTGGTGAATTCAAACATACACACAACCAACAATGACAAACATATTGCAAGGATGGCCGGTCTTCTATGAGCATAAATATACATATGAGACGCCATCTAAAGGCAAGAGTGCTATGGCAACGATGTATACAACTCACATACAAACTGTTGTAATAGGTGTTGCATAAATGCCAGGATGCTCATGTTGACGTACTTTTTCGCATCAAGCCCGATTGGGCTCGATCATGCTCGATCGATTCGATCGAAGGTCGTCAAGACGAATTTGACTCAAATCTAACCCCGATTTAATTAAATTAAAATCAAATCAATTTAAATCAAACCCCGTCGAGTGTCGGCGAGTTCAATTCGACGCAATTCGGCACTTTTCGGCCTCGATCCGAGCCCAATTTCGTAAAATTGACTCGATCTGACCCATTTCGGTCCGAATCGACTCTAATCGATTCAAATTGGGTCCAATGCGAACCCAATTTTAGCCCAATTCATCAAATCTTAGCTCAATTCAAACCTCAAATCAAGATTTGAATCAAACGGCTTAGATTTCCTCTAAAATCCCGCTCTCTTTTCCGTCAAATCGCCTGGTTTCAGCGGCTACAGCAGGAGATCCACTCGAGTGCGATCTTTTCGCGTGTAGAAGGAGCGGGAGAGATAGAGGAGACGGGCATTCGACTCCTTCGTGGCTTTTTTCGTTGGTCCCCGTCCCAACAGAGAGAGCGAGAGATAGAGAGCGGTAGAAAGCGAGAGATCCAGAGAGCCAAAAGCGCAGTCCAGGCGGAACTCCTTTTCGCGTCCAAGGCTCTTTCGCGCGACTGTTTCCCCCCTGTCCCGCGACTACCTCACGAGCAGGCATCCCTCCTGCGTGCGGGAGTCCCGTCCAGCCCCTCTCTCGTGTGCGACAGCTCCGTCCGAGCTCATCCAGGGCTTCGGTCGGACCTACCAGGAGGTTCGGCTCTTTCCTTCGCCGGACCTGCGCGACCCGACCACCTCGGGTCTGTTTCGACTGACACAAGGAAGGCTTCTACTCTCTTCCTTCTTCGTCTCCGGCGACCTCGAGGCGAGTCGGAAGCTGTTGGAGACTTCCAAACAGCAAAGGAGGGTTTCTAAATCTTCCAAACAACGATTTGGAGCCTTCCTTCGAAGCGTCCCGGACAGCAGCGGCGACGACCGGAACACCTAGGACAGCGACTTTGGAGCTTGGACAAAGCTTGGAACTTGGATAGGAGCGCTTGGACAACCCGGGGAAGGTATACCACTAAAACTTAGGCGAAACCTTAAGGCTCCCAAGGCCATTGATATGTGGTTGACGATCCAAAGCCTTAGGTCCTTAGAAACTTTAATTTTTGGTCCCCCAATACCTTTGTGTTGGCTGTCCACTTCGTAAAGGCTATGGAAATTGGTCGATTTCCATTAGTTGACTCTTATGTAAGGGTCCGAAGAGGATTTTGATGCGTATGAAGATGTTGGATTGGTATCCAACACCTTTTAAATTGTATGTCTTTGCATTCATGCAACCCTTTCATTACCTATGCTTGAACTATAGGTTAGACCATTCTATTTGACCTAGAAATCAAATGTTAGGGTGTACACTTTTCTTTCTAGTGTCGCATGCTAGGTTAGGCTCTTTAGGTTGACACGCTATGACAAAATTGACATATGTTTAGGGTATGTTATATATACTAAAGTTCAACGTTTAATAAATTTGGTGGAAACTTGTAGCGGATTTGTTCGATACAAATTGTTGTGAGGTTTACTACAAGTCTCCAAAGACTTGTGTTTTAAACCCCATGACATTCATGACCAACTAAATCCGTGACATGTCATTTCATCAAGTTTACTTTGCTTGGAATGACGATTGCCACTTGTTTGGAACAACCCTAACCCTTTGAGAATTGGAAGGAGATTAAATGGGTTCATTTAATTCTAAACGATTTTGAGGCTACATGGGCCTTCACAAGCCCACGAATGCCCATGCCTAGAATTATCTAATCCCATTTTTTTTGAAACTTCCAAATTGAGGGTTTATGATGAATCCAAACTCTCCATCTC